GCAAATAAACCAATTTTGTTTCTCCCCCCCACATCTAGGCCACCCTGACCAGCAGTACCCAGCAGTAACATTGAGGCTGGGTCTGACTTCAGCTCTATTACCACTGCTGCCACTCAACAAGGCTGCCTTGCACTGTTCACCCAGGTTTGAGACCCTTGGGAATACTACTATTGACTCCACAGCCCAGCACTCCCCATCTACTGCACGCCACTCACCTTCAGCAGTGTTCTCCTGTTAATAGGCTCCAGCAGCTTAATGGAGGCTGGTTCAAGACACACAAAGGCCTTTGTTTCTGAAGCAACTTCAGAGAATGGTCTCCCCACAGCCTCTGCAAACCACATGAAACATACCCCATTCTTGTATAATTTTCAGAGGTTCTGGTGGCCTCACAGGAGCACTTTATGATGTGTGGACTTCAATTCCTAGAATTTCCCAGCAACACATTAGGAGTTGAAGTCCACTCGTTTTAAAGTTGCCAAGTTTGAAATATAGTGAGCTAAACTATGGCTAGGCAATCCCACCTCCCCACTGTAAAAAAAATGCATTTTTTTTACATCATTGCATTGGTTAACAATAGAATTCCAGACCTAATTCAAAGTGCTGATTATCACTTACAAAGCACTATAAACTGAAGTTCTGGGATACACAGACATCACATTTCCAAAAATACACTTGCCCATCTGGTCTAAATATTTCTAGTGGGATTGCTACATATGGCCCACTGTAGGCAGTGGGCACTTCTTTGCAACCTCCCTCCATGCTTCCTTTGGGTTTACATTATATTCTCTGCCTCCTTGCACATAAGGTGCTAACATTACAGGATCCTTATTGCTTTTGGCCAAACTGATTGTGGACGCTCATCTTGGATGTGTTTGATCAGTTAGTTAGATTGTCAGTCAGATCCATACTTTCTGGACCAACAGACATAATCTATTCATTGATAGTCACCCAGAGTCACTTGTATAGCGAAAGTCCGGTGTCTAAATTTGATAAACAAACGCTTTTAAGTTTGCTTGCCTGATCACAAAGGACCTAGCTCAGAGGGTAGTCAACCTAGGCTCTTTTATGACTCGTGGACTTCAACTCCCAGAATTCCTGAGCCAGCTATGCTGGCTCAGGAATTCTGGGAGTTGAAGTCCACGAGTCATAAAAGAGCCAAGGTTGACTACCCCTGACCTAGCTTAAACCTAATCTGTTCGCCAGCAATGGCATCAACAGCAGGGTGGGGGAAATGGAAAAGGAAGCGAAAGGGCTAAAATAATTACGTTCTGTAGCGTAGCCACGGAGTTTCGCTACTCAGATTGTTTTAAGATTCCATCTTTCGCAATTGCCAGTTTAAAATTTAGAACTGATATTGGACTCACGTCCAAACGACAACTTTCCCGCCTTTTAATCAGCCTCCCCCGCCTAACCTCCCAGGGGCTCAAGGGGTTAAGGCCGCGCACGGCGAGGAAATCCCACCTTCTGCGCTTTAGATTGGCTCAAGGAAGCCGCCGGGAGGGGCAACATCCTCACCCAGCGGCCATTGGCCGCACAAGCTGCCGTTTGGCGGCTTGTCCGCATCTCCTCCTGCAAGGAAGGTTTTGAAAGTTGGGCGGGTGGCAGCCTTGGTGAGTTGCGGGGGAGCGGGAGCGTCTTCGTAGGGGCAGGAACAAAGCGGCTGCAGAGCCCTGGGCTGAGATCTCGGTTGAGGCAAGAAGCAAGTTAAATATCGAAATAACGGAAGGGCAAAAAAAAAAAAGGGAGCGGCGGTGAATACTGCCACGGACTCGGCTCCTCTGCGTACTGATTCAGAAGGGGAAAAACCCCCCCTACACACACATTTTGTTTAATGGGGAGGAAATGCGCGCGTGGAGCTGCGCTTTGCGTTTCAGTAAAAGCTGCTTGCATTGTAACACCCGTGTGTTTTCTGACCGGTTCGAGTAAATATTGATTGCCCACAACGTGATGTACGTGAACCAAATTAATGGATGTGTCACTAACTCGGTTTCGACTTCTAGCGCCTGCCCTAGACGGATTTTTCCCCCCCTTGAACTTGAGCTCAGCGCCTCTCCTGAGTTGAGTTTCCCACCAGTAAACCCCATTTGCCCCTCGCGGAATTGTTGGGAATCGTTCGGACGTCTTCGCTCTCCTAGAATTCCCATTTTTTCCCTCTTAGGTTTCCTCCTCCTTCCCCGTTACAGTTGCATTTCTCCTCTCCTACACGGTGGGGGAAAAAAAACGTATTCCACGCAGACTCGCGATGCCAAGGTTTCCACGCCGGTCTGCCCCCCGCATTCTCCGGCGCTGACCTGAGCACCGGCGGGCCTCGCAAAATAAGGAGCTCGCGAAGGTCTCCGGCCTTGTGTTGTTTCCCCACCGTGGAGTAGGATGGAAAACCGGGCTTGCGTAGAAAGTGACAGGGAGAAAGAAAGGGTGGTTGTGATAGCGCACTTCCCTTTAAAAGAATGGCGGGAAAACTCTGAGGAAAAAAAGATAATCGCAGATTTAGGCTAGAATGGAGGACATAGGAAAGGGCGTAATTTGTCCGACTATTTGTACTTCCACCGCCCTCCTCGACCCCCTCAGTCCAACTACCCTCGGCTTCCTCCAGGGCAGAACTAAAACGGACTTTTGCGCCTCTCGCGCAGGCTCTCTCCGGGAGGGGGGCGTGGCAGAGAGCGCGCGGGAAAGAAACGAACGCTGAGCTGCTTTCCCGCCACCGGGCGAAATAAAGCGCGCGCGCTTCGCTCCCAGGAAAGAGCTGGTGCAAAGGCCTCGTAGCGTCTTAGCAGGGTCCTCCTGCTCACGCTACCCGCCCGGCTGTTGTTTTGGTACCACGGCGGGTGTGGTGGAACTATTGGCTGTTGTTCTGCTAACAGAAATGCTTTATTTATATGTCTTCACATAAAGTTGAATATCTAAGAGCGGAGAGAAATGCTAGTGTTCCCCTGCCAGAGCTCTTGGTTAGGGGAGTATATGTGTCAAAAAAGTCAAAAGGCGGGTAGTCGCAGTGGCCATCTTAATTCTTCTGGCACCCCTCTTGTGAGCAATTTTGTGTTGTAATCCCTAACACGTTACACTAAGCTCTCTAATGATTTTGTCTTTGCCTGGATCTTTGAGTTGAATGGTTCGATTTTGTTGCCTCGTGGATTTCCTCCAATGACTCACTGGAGTAGCATTAGGGCAGTGGTAGGCAACCTTGGCTCTTTTATGACTCGTGGACTTCAACTCCCAGAATTCCTGAGCCAGCATGGCTGGCTCAGGAATTCTGGGAGTTGAAGTCCACGAGTCATAAAAGAGCCAAGGTTGCCTACCACTGCATTAGGGGATATGGGAAATAAAAAAGATTGTCCTTTCCCTGGGGGCCCTATCCTCCAGTTCTTAATGCTAGTTGCTCATGCCAAATAAATACGAGAGAGGAGGAGGATTTAAGCAGCAGCCTTACATTTTGTCGTGAAAATTGTTGCTGAACCACACAGTATTGTCACATGGAGGAATGGTTTAGCACAGTGGTTCTCAACCTGTGGGTCGGGACCCCATTTGGGGTCAATCGACCATTTCATGGGGGTCGCCAAGCAAGGCTGTCCGCCATTTTTTTTGTCCGCCATTTTTCCCCCCTTTTCCAGCGGGTGCCTTACCTCCCTTGGGCTGGGCTAGCTGGTGGTCGGCCTGCTCCGTCTCTGCCACTTGCCAGCTATGCCTTGGCCGGCGCAGGGGGCGGAACCACGCATGCGTGGCGCTCCCGGGCAGGGAAAGTCCTCGACTTACGACCGGTTTAGTCCTCAACTTATGACCGGTTTAGTCCTCGACTTATGACCGGTTTAGTCCTCGACTTACGACCGGTTGGGGTCGCGGCATTAAAAAGGTTGAGAACCACTGGTTTAGCATCAACAAACATGATTTAATCTCTTAAATTTTAACAGTGCCTTGAATGTAATGAAGGTGGAGTAAAGAGATATAAGGGGATTTTATAAAGATTTTTAAAACCTTCATGTATTATATTCTTTATTAATATCTTCCCATTCCTGCAGCAAACCAGGAAAGTGTGAGCCCAAAGTCTGTCCTTTTGTCAGTTGTTTGACAGATGATTTTTATTGGTTTGGTTAAATTTTTATGGATGGAAAGATGTTATTTATGCATACTGCTGCATTTTGGCTGGAAGTGGTTACATGTAATTGTAATCTTAGCATTATAAGCCACTTGGAATTGTATGGAGTAGACAGTTTGTAAGAATAATTGAATAAATAAATGTTTTTTTTTCTGGGGGAAAGGACAGCATATCCCATATTGTAATTCTATGCACAATGATATAGCAGCAAATTGTTTAGCTTTGGAACCATGTAAAAGCAGTACTGTAAAGAAAAGTTTGGGGGGGGGAGGAGACAATGGCCATTTCTCCCCACTCATTCTTTTTTTATTTAAGTAACCTGTTCAAGGATGCTTTGAACAAATATGCTTCCTACTAAATCAGATAAATGCTTGATATTATATTTCCTATCATTCTCTTACCTTAGTGTGCAAACTGAAGCTTCTGGGCAGGTTGCAAATCAGATATATGTGTAATACCATGTATGAGGAAACAATTACAATGCACTTGCTTGCATTGTTCAGCAGCTGCTATTGAGATATATTTCATGTTTGTGCTAATACTGTATATAATCCTCATGGTTAATAACTATTGATGGTTGTAGTCTCCCTACAAGACATTGAACCAAGTTGGCTTTGTTTTGTTGCAAAGTAAGAGAAAGGCTGAAAATGGGGCATTTTCTTTGTCATCATCTCTGTAAGTGAAGATCAAGCCAACTAGTATCAGGAATAAGAGTGAGGTTTTGACCTCCTTATAAGAATATCCAGGTTAGTTGATGAACTACAGCCAGGAAGAGCTAGGTTCAAATCTTCACTTTACGGTGCAGTTTATTGCTGAATTTTGAACCGTCCTACCTGCAAGAAATATTGCCCCCATTAAAGACTGGTAGATGCTGTGTTATGGAATGAAATCCAAAATGTGGAAATTGGGAATGTTCATGCATGGTATTTAAATGACAGCTATTTCTTTATATGAAGGAAAGCAATTAATCCTCAATTCAGAGCAAAGCAAGCAATACCCAAATTCAGAGTGTATTGTCAATTTTTAGGTGGGGATGCTGATTATTTTTATTAACAATCCGCTACAGATATCTGTAGGTAAGATAATGAGAGGTGAATTTATCTGCTAGATTTATATTCTGCCTTTGCCCATGAACTCAAAGCAGTATACTTAGTATTCCCTCCAAGATTCTCATGACAATTTGTTTCACCTGAGAGAGTGAGTGGCCCAAAGTCATCCAGCAAGTATCCATTTGTCATATTTCTCTTTATTGGTTTAGCTCTTTAATGAATAATTTCTAATTTTTCATTAACAGTTGTAGAATAAAGACCTTTTGTCTGTTAGACGTTTTAACTGGAATTTGAGAATCTAAAAGTAACAGTGGCCATAATACAGCTACTCTTTGGACAAATGTTAACATCTTATTGGCAATTTATTTTGTCTAGGGGCTGCCCTAAGCTTACATTTTCTCCTTTGGTTTTAGTTATTTACAGATGATCTGTCACTGCCATCTCTTGGATGGAAATAGATTTGCTAAACAAATACTTTCATTTTGGCCTTCTTGTGGAATGGCATTTATACAAAATCCTGAAAATCTAACATCATTCTTTGTAGTATCCACAAATGACTAAGATGTTCAGTGAACAATTTCAGTAAACAATTATAATATGAAAATTAAATCACTTTTCATAAGATAATATGTGATCTAACTTTAGATTTCACTGCTTCTCCATATTTTGCTATTGTATTTATTGTAATATCTTTCATATAGCTATCTAAATGGTATAAATGTAACTCTAATTCTTTGTTAAAGAATGTGATCTCTTAATATTGTGTGTGAACATATCAGGCAAACAATCCAAGATAAAAGATCAAGTCAGACGAGATGGTGATTGCCTTTGATGGCATTAGTGCAGACATGTCAAACTCGCGATGTCAGGTGATATCACGCAACGTATCGGAACTTTTCCCCCATTGCTGGCAATAGGGTGGGCGCAGTTTCCTCGTGCCGCGTCCGGCCCATGGGCCGGGAGTTTGACACCCCTGAATTAGCGTGTTCGTCCTAGACCAGATTATATGGAGACCCTTTCTCCAGAAGAGTAATAATTTTAGACAAAATGCATTAAATAACATGGAATTTCACTACTATGAGCATTTTTAATAAAATATTAAAGATTTTAATTGTAATAATAAAAACTAATACTAGAAGTGTAAAGTGTAAAATACTAGAAGAAGTGTAAAGTGTGAAGGAAAAGGAAAAAATTAGATGAAAGAAAAAAAGACTACAATAAAGAGAAAAGAAATATATAAAGAAGTGGCTTTCAAACTTTAATACAATTATGAACAATTTAACTTTTCACCTCTTAATTTACACCAATTATCTCTTCATTCCACCTGTTATCTATAAACAAATCCATAAAACATCATCATTTCAGTCCTGGTGTCGGAAAAAACCCATTAAGGATTGCTAGAAACTTTAAATCCAAATATCTTTATTATAGTTTTCGACCAGCTTTACAACAGAAAGGTATAGTAAAAAGAGAGTTTTATACAACAATTGTTATAGGGGAATGGAAAAATAATAGGACAATAAAAACAGATCCTGATACGTGAGTGTAGGGTTAGCATCCTTTCAAAGATAATAAACATAAAATGTATCTGTATGGCCTTCCTGTTTGGAAATGATTGGGGCAATCATAGCACATCTTGGGGTACCATAGAAAGGAGACCGTATGAGAACATGGATGAGAGTTTCTACCTCTCTGAATAGGGAATACCATGAAATTTTTGCCTCCAGTAGAGTTGATGGGAGGGCACCAAATCAGACTCTGAAAAAGGCCAATACATATTTGCTTAGTGTTAAATTAATACTAAGATTCAAGCTTTAACAAACCTCCTTTGTAAATTGAGTTCACTTTATTTATTATTTGTAATTCACCTTAGATTTTTAAAGGATCAACCAATTTCTTTTATCTGTCCAATAAGATATCTTTTCCGTATCATCTTATTGTCTATTAGTGGATCCACTTTCAGTGTTAACTCTCTCTCTCTGTCTTGTTGGATGAAATTTGTTCCTCTTCTGTTGTTTCTGTTGACTCACCCAGTATTTTCAGACTCATTGATCCGAAGGTATCTAAGAGCTGAAAAGGAGTTAACACGAATTTCCAAATGTGATTAGAAAAGGAAATAGGTAAACTTAATATCCTTTTAACGATGCCGACCACAGTTTGAGCAAGATGGCTATTCTCTTGTCTTCTACTGCTTAAAACCCACTGGAGACCAATCTTGCGAGCTTCTTGTAAGGAGTGATTGTCCGGAGCACCTGAGGGCGATCTCCTTTCCTCCTTCTCCAGAGAAAAAGTCAAAAAGTCGAAGAACCTGTCTACTTACCAGGTCTTGGTTCTTTGCTGCTATTATTGGCTTTGCTTTTTGCAGAACTGTCTTCACGTTGCCATTTCTTGTTCTGGAAGTTCTTTTATCAGCAATGCCCTGAGCATATTGTGTGAAAGACACTTTTGTGCATTCACTGCACACACTGATTCTGCTGATCATTGAGAAGCATTTTGAACTTTAATTATTTTTTTCTTCATCGTGGGATATTTAGAAATCTAGGCCCATGAAATACTTCTAGAGTTGGTGCCTAATTGTCAGCCTTCATCATGGAATGGGATAATGCCGTCCCATTCCACTCAGATAGATTATATATATTTTAAAACATTTCTGCCAGTTACTTTGATTTTTTACCATTTGACTTTCTTGGGTTTTTTTTCATTTCCTTAAAAAAAACTGCAATAGAATTTTTAGAGAAGTATTGCATGGAGAAATGTAAATGCTTTTCGCTTCCTTACTGCTTTTCATCCAAAATAGATCATTGTGACCTGCTTTTTGTACTGAGCAGTACAAAATAATTAGAATTTTTTTTAAAAAAAATCTCACTTGTCATTGAAATATGCAGAGGTTTATACATCAGAATGTAGACTGTGCCCTTTTAGGGCATATGATATTGTTACATTTTAGTTTAAAGTTTTACATTTTGATTTTTTTGGAGGTGGGGTGGGGAGAGGTTAAGAAGCTTCAGCTCCCTTTGATAATGAGCGCATCTTCTGTATCTAAAGGAAGACTACACAGCATATAGTATTCCATACTTGGATATTTTTTTAGGCATGATGTGTTTCAAATTTTCAACTGTAAATTCAAAATTAGCATTTCTAGTAATTTTAAACATTTATTTGATCAATATATTAATGAAAGCACTCTATATTTCATTAAAAATATCAGTTTTACTATGTGATTTTTTATTTCACCCAAGCCTCCATTTGTTACATCATAAATTATATGTTTTCATATCTGAATTATAAACAATTTGGCTTTTCTAATTTTGTTTCGTTGTATTATATCTAACTTAGCATTAGCAGAAAATATTTCCACTTGTGCAAGATAAAATACAATTATCTATCCCATATTTAATAATATTCTAAAGATTTCTCATCTCTCAAGATAAGTCTGCCTGGAAGGACTGGAACAAGGAATTACAGTAGGGAAAAAAGAGTTTTTAAATTGGGGTTTCTGTTTTGCAAAATCATCATTAGATACATTCTTGATTTATTATTTTTAAATAAATGATCATATTGATTAACATAATTATTGATATTAAATATAAAATTATGGATTGTTCTGTTTTGTACACTATACTTTTTTAAAAATATTATTTGAAAGGAAATATGTACTGTAGTCTGTTCTTACTGTGTGATGCCATTTCCTCCCCTATGACTAATTGTCCACTTTGGAAAAAAATGCTCAGTGAATTCCTAGGGGTCTAGACTGGAATGTGAAGTCCAAAAACAGCTTAGTAGCAAACAATTTCTGTACTGTTGCCAAGAAAATTATATGAATATGTCCAAATAATCAAGGTGTTGAGTTTGACTAAAGATAATTTACTCAGAGAATACATTCTAAAATTTATCAGTTTAATATATTGGTTAAATGCTTCTGTTATCATTTTGTTTTATAACAAACATTTATAGATTTGGGTTGCAAAAATCCAGATAAAGAAAACCTAGCTCTTTGATATCTATTAGTTGTCTAGCTATTAGATTTTCTCAGCCCAGATCTGATATTTCTAAATATACGGACCATAATTGATACTCATTGGTGGATTGCCTTTAAAACTATTAAGGTAAGTTACTGATGTAAATTGTAACTAAAGTGTTACAATTCAGACACTAATCCAGAGAATTCACTCAATATAAATCCGTTCCATGTTAGAAATGCTGCTTCCTGAGTCTGAAGGATGTAACAAATACCTCATTGCTCTGCAGGGTTTCCTGCTTCTAAAACTAGAGAACAACAAGATTTTTCCTGAAGTAGGAGGAGCAAAGCTCTACTTTGTTCTCTCCCAGAAAGGCTAAAGTAACTTGAGCAGAATGACAATTATCAAGAACACCTCAATCAGTAGTGGGCTCTATACAATTGGAGCAAGAGGATATTCGTATCTATAGCAGCATAAATATTAATTAAGAAAACAGAAAATAAACTAGAAGGAGTAATTTTTTGCTTCAAAGGCATAGGTTACATGACCATTCCCATCCATAATTTATGGCTAATAACTCTATTAAGAACTAATGTGCCAAGCAACCTTATACTGTGGGTCATTTTTCAACTGCTTTTATAGCATGAAGAGAATCCTGTTGTTTCACCTTGAACATCTCTGAGTATTAAGTCAGAAGAATCTTTGCCAACTCATTTCCTTTTAAAAGAATCCTTTTACTTCCTTGAAATGCTTTCATTATGGTTGTAGATTGTCCTGACAGGCTTTGTGTAAAATCTGCAAGATTTTAGTAAAAGTTGGGTCCCAAGATGCTACATGGCATTAGAGTAGACAATTGGGAACTTTTACCTTTTAATTCCTACTCTTTAAAATAACAGATGACTTTCTAAAATGTTTCATTATCTCAGTTACTCAAGGCATTTGAATTATTTTTGTGCCTTGGGGTGTATGTGTGAAACTGGTCTTAAAGCTCCTTAATAGCCCAGATGCCTTCCATTCTTCAGTGCCACCAAAGTTAAATGCACATGGCGCCATTTTGATTTTAAACTGTTCTGCCTAAACATTCCCTACCCAAAATGTTCTCATTTCCTTCCATGGTTTCACTTAGTTTTGATAGTATAGATCTTTGCTAGCCTCTTGGAAAGGACTAGACCGATGTTTGAGTGGTATGCATAGTATGAGTGAAATCATTGTTTTTCTTGGCCTATTGGGAAGTATGCAGGTATATTAAATATTTCAAGTGAAATGGAAAAAGGGATTTGCCCATTAATTTTTATGTTTCTATAGTACCAAGATTTCATTCATTGTAAAAGCCTTTTAAGCCTTTTTCTTTTATTATCTTGTAAACTGGGAAACTACCATGCAGTAAATTGGCAGGCACAGCCCTCAGCTTTCTCTGAAACCATTCAGGGCTCAATTATATTTGTTCACTAATCTGTTAAAAATTATCTCTTTAGGGGCCATCTTATATTATCTTAATCTATGAAGAATTAGTAACATTACTTATGAATGTATATTTAACTTCTGGAGCTCTGACATTTGCAAAATTGTGTTAAAGATGGGTGTACAACATTTATAAGAAATCTACTCTGTCTTCATTAGTTATACCTGTGGGAAGTGGGAGAAAAAAGACTTAAGGGTGGAAGAAGCTATGAAAAATCTTTATGAAAAGTACTGCTGTCTTGCCAGTCTTTAAACCCCTTGAGTATGTAATGAACTAGGATCATGTTTATAAGCTAACCAATATGCACCAAATGGTAATTCTTGGAATTATTACACCTTTGTATAAAATGTCCAGCTAAATTGGTTAAAGACTAGGGTGGGAACTTGGACTGTATTTCATTGGAGGGAGTGGGGAGGGACGGAGAGAAGGAAGGATAGAAGGAAGGAGTTATCCCTTCTCTGCAAGAATTGTATTTAGTTTATGGTCAATATGCATATTACATGGACATTTATGATTCATTTTATTTTAAAAGCTTTTGGATTTGTGAATGCTGAAAATTAACAGTGTTTCTCTTGTTCCAAACATGTGGTTTCTGGATGAAGTATTGCAGCTCAAGGATGTCTTTAGTTTAAAAGTTGAATCCTGTCTGCATTTGTTTCTTGCTGGTTATGGATTTTGCATGCCAGTGTATGTTTCCTTAATCATTGGTAACAATTCTATTTTTCTGTTCTTGTCATAAAATATTATTTAGTAAACAAAAACAAAAGGACAAGTGCTAGTAAAGTGGTGCATTTTGATATATGGATTGCTTTTTATTCCCTCCCTTTTAGTTTTCACACACAAAACCATTTCCTTTTAGGAACTACTATGGTAATGCATCTCATCATAAAAGCTGTACATATTTTTAATTCAGTATCTCATAATGTAATAAAAGTTATTAATAGTTGCTAAGAGAAGGGCTTTTTTCATTTGTTCCCCCCCTTTTTTTTTAAGATGACAGAATGGTTGAAGATAGTGGAGTCTCTAACTCAAGCATTGAGTTTTGGCTGAACAAGACTCTTGAGTGGGATCAGATCACCACTTTAGAATCTCAGCAAGATGTCTGCCTTCACTTGCCTGAATTACAGGAATTTCTCCTGCAGATTTATGGAGCTTTGAAACATATGGTAAGTGAATTAACTGAAAGAATGAACTGTTTTGAAGACTGTTACAGAAACATTCTGCACCCCACATTTTGACAAGATAAAAAGCTAACAGTAGCAGAGAGCCTTGTAGTACTGACCTAATGTATTACTGGATCATAGAAGCAAATTGGAGAAACAGCCATAGGTAATGCAAACAGGAATGTGTTTCCTGTGTTCCTGATTTATTATGAAATGAGCCTTTTCTTTTTGATTGGTTATATTCTCACATGAGATTTCCTATTCAATGCAGCAAGCTTTTTTAAAATACCTTAAAATAAACAAGCATTTAATTCTTATTCTCATGTCACATATTCCATTAGATACAGATCCTTAACTTATACAATTATAAGTGATCTCTTAAACCATGGAGTCTGCTGGCTTATTAACTTTATTGTTACTGCTTGCAAAATGTTTTCAGATCACCATTGTGTGATCAGAGGTAAATATCTAGTTTGCTGCTGCTATTTTGCTTCTCTATTATTAGGTTGCAATAATTTGTAGAATACAAATTGCAATTAATTAGGGTATTGTTATATGTGCACTAAAATATATTTTGTTGATAATAAGCAGTTAACCTATAAAATTAGTGTAAATGGTCAGGAAAATATTTTTGATAAAATAACAAGTGGCAGATTAGCTACTGAAAAATTTATTTTGTTAGCAACTGCCTATATTTCTGAGGACATAACTTTTCCCCCTGAAATTTTCTAACTGTACTGAATTACTTATAAAACTGGGCTTCAGATGGGCCTTCTGTATTTGACTCCACAATGTCTAAGGATTGTTCCAAATGTGGATCAAATCTGAAGATTTTATTGTAGTGAGAAGTGATTATTATCTTTGTTGTTACTTGCATATTATCTTGGTTTACTACCATTTTAAAAACCATTTTACTATTAGTCATTAAAGCTACAAAAAAGAGAAGATGGAAATGCCTGATTGTATAAGAATGTTTATTAATTGTACCATGTTTTACTTTTATAGCAAAGCTTCTTTCCATTTGGTTAATTTTTCTTTAGGTTTTTGTAGGTATAGTGTCTGTTAAATTTCAGTTGCAACTCATGTTAAATGTAGCAAGTAGTAATTGAAATATTAAAATTTCTTTATACTGTGGTTGGGACTCAGTCCTTCACATAATGTATAGAATGATGTAAGCAGTGTAACAAAATATTTTCTTAGTATATTTTTGTGTATTTTTTCATTTTTTCCATCTCTGAAGGAGACAGGCCATCTCTAAATCTGATATATAAAATAAATAATAAATAATTATTTTGAACCTCTTCTATAAAAGCATTGTGTTGATCCACAAAAAGTTGAACTGGCTGGAAAGATATTAAGATACTTTAAATCTCAATGTTTTCTTTTTACTGTCTTGATTTCTATTTTTCAATTGTATCTCTGTAAGAACAATTGAATAGACTAGTGGTGTAGTGACTATAGTATGTAAGGCAGCAATGTGAACAGTTGTGATTGCTTGTGCACAGCTCTAAGTGTGAGGTGTAAGTGAGGAGTATTTGGTCTGGTGGTCTGGGAATCAGGCCTAAGGCTTAGGATTAACCAGTGGGAGTGGGAAAAGGCCTGTGGAGGCCCAAGGGGGTGGGGGAGGACTAGGGCAGTAAGCCTGTGCTAGGCCTCCAAGAGCTGCCCACCCCTGCATCCTGTGTTCCACCTAATGACCTGCATGTTTGTTTATAACAATTTATTGGGGGGAGCCGGGATGGGGGGCGGATTGCTAAATGAGATGTTTCACTTAACAGCCATTATGACATGTGACCATAATGAGCAGACTCCATTATTGCTGTATCTTGAGGACTATCTATACATTTAGGCAGCACTTACTTCTTCTGAAGATGTTCTGGCCTTAATTTTCATTTTCCCAATCCCTTATCGTTGTGGACAGTCAATATGTTTTGGCACCCGCTAATTTCAAGACTAAGCATTCTATTTAATTTTAGAACTCGACAACTGCAGTCCAAAAATTTCCATTAATTGGTCAGTTATTGGGAAGACTCTGTTGGAATCCTTTTGTCATTGGATATGGTGAGTGTTTATAACTTGTTTTGTTAAAGTAATTGATAATTATGGGAGTGTTTCTTAAAATTATACTTTCAATGTAAGTATCAGACAGTGGTCCATATAGCATAAAAACATATACATTCATTGGCATCAAGTTTACAGACAAGGATTTTGTAATGAAAACAACAGTCTCCCAAAATAATGAAAAAATAATTCATCAAAGGGCCTTGAAAAAACCAAAATCCATTCAAAGAGTTTTAAAATGGATCATAAGGAATATTTATAGAATCCAAAGATTTATAAGAGCAGATTTATATACAGGTACTCCTTGAATTACAATGGAAATTGGGACTGAAACTTGTATCGTTAAGCAATGCATGCCTGACCAAGTCTTTTGCGAGACAGCTGCTGACTGTGCAAGGCTACCTTGCGGAGAACCAGGCTGGGCATGTAGTAGGAGCAAGAAGATGGTAAAGGTCAGTTGGGCACGCAAAGCACGGGGCAATAGGGGCTACAGAGTGCAGGGAGCCAGAAGAGCAGAAATGAGGGGGAAATTAGAATAGAATAGAATAGAATAGAATAGAAAGGGACCTTGGAGGTCTTCTAGTCAGCCCCCTGCTTGAGCAGGAGAACCTACTATCTCAGACAAGTGACTGTCTAGCTAGCCTCTTAAAAATCTCCAGTGATGGAGTGCCCACGATTTCTGAAGGCAAGCTGTTCCACTGGTTAATTGTTCTCACTCTCAGGAAGTTTCTCCCTAATTCCTGGTTGCTTCTCTCTTTGATCAATTTCCAACCATTGTTTCTTGTCCTGCCTTCTGATGTTTTGGAGAATAGGTGGGTGGGGGAGATGAAGCATCCCTGCAGTCATGTGGGCAAGTTACCAAGCACACAAATTTTGATCGCAAGGGGGGCTGCAATGGCTGTAACTTCAGTAACCAAGAGTAAGTATGTTTTTTTTCAGATTCACCATAACTTTAAACAATCACTGAACAAATGGTCATAACTCAAGGGCTTCTTGTAATTTGTAGGTCATCTTCTGCAGTTGGCAATATAGTACTGATGTAAACACATAAACAAGCAGGACTGGTAACAATGGTCCTACTTTAACACTGCTATATCATTGTGAAGAAACCATGCACATCAAAATCCTTTCACATACATACCATTGTAAGGAAATAGTATCTAATACAGCAAAATTGTCTTAGGATTTAAATGGTTATTAATACATATAGAGCAGGGGTGTCAAACTCAATTTCACTGAGGGCCGCATCAGCATTGCGGTTGCCCTGGGGGGGCCAGGTGGGTGTGGCCAGAGTGGGTGCAGCCTACTGGGTGGGTGTGGATGGAGTGGGTGTGGCCTACTGGGTGGGCATGGCCAGTTCTACATCATTCGCATCAAAGGTGCCTATGGGGGCCTGGGCAGGAGTGGGACAGATCTGAGGGTCTCTGGCAGAAGGGGGTGGGACCGGGGCAAATGCCAAGGCATGGTCCACCGGGGCAAGTGTCAAGATGGCCACCACAAATTGTACATTGGCTCCCGGCTGGCCAGGGCCAAGGCAGCGGGGGCCGTTCCCTCACTGTTTCCAGGATGGCTTCGTGAGCCACATGAAACCACTTTGTGGGCTGCATCCGGCCCCCGGGCCTTGTGTTTGACATGTCTGATATAGAGTTTTAACATACAGTTTTACAGGTTTTTTTTATAGGATGACAAGTTTTGAATGATTGAATTTGGACTATTTGAGAGGAATTCTTTATTAACAGAACAGTTATAATTAAAGGTTTCAATACACCAACCTTTGAGTACTTTTATTATATCGGCTTTTCTTTCATTGCTGTCAGTAGCAGGGAAAATGGAGGAGTAAAATGGCGACTCTAAATTTCATTTTATTGGGGGAGTGCAGTCAATAGTGGTTGAGGGGAGCTGGGCTGCATGCATCTCCCAAACAAATAGTCTTCTCTAACAAACATTTTGCTTTGACAGCTGCTTATTTACCAGGCAAAAATTAATGTAAAGACCCTTAGGGGACCTGTTTGTTTTGATGAAGGTAATTATTTATGAGGAAAGAGATATTCAGGGTTAGTTTTTATATTAGAAAAATAAAACAATGCACAAATTTGAATTTAATGTCATAAAACTGTTCTATGTATATAAATACATTTTGTTGTAAAACTATCAATAAAATAAGTTGCAAAAAATAAGGTGGCTTGATTCAGAACAAGCTAGCTAGATTGAAACTGATCAGATTTAAGTTTGTCACAATTAACTAGGTTCATATTGAATCAGCAAGACAATCAATTAAACCCATCTCCAAATACATTAAAATATGTTTTATATTAGGAGAAGGAAGAATGAAACAGTCTATATGTGATGAATGGAATGACTTAGAAAGAATGGAATAGAAGAAAAATAACCATAAAGATTTACTTTGTCCTTGTTTTTTTTGTTTTTGTTTATTAAAATGAGCAAAAGAATCTTCTTGTCCTGCTTTGATTTTTTTTTAAAAAAATATCCTTATTTGGATTGGTACCACAGATGAATGCCAGAAGATTCTGATGTGCTGCTTATGTTGTCTGTACAGTGGTGAACCACAGAACCCTCTGGAATTGAAGGCCAACAGCTGGATACAAGTAAGCAAATGAATCCTCCCCTCAGCTGCTTTACATTAACTTAATTATTTAAAGGTGCAGCATCTACAGCATATAGACACTGTGTCATTTTTGGAAACCACTCTAGAGACATACTAGATTCACATTGTATTGAAATGTATTCTCCTTTAATTAAAGTACAAACTCTGCTGTCTCTCATTTTGAACATTAAAAAAGATGTGGTGTTTAAAACCAAAGTAATTTTAATGGCCCTTAATTGAATGGAGCCTAGATTCTGGCAACTTTAAGTAAAGAACAAAGTCCACAAATCAGCAAGCAAGAGAGTGCTATAAAAGCAAACTTTCAATTAGGGGAAAAATAAGGCAATCTGGATAGAAGCCCTTGTTTGTTTTGAAAACAATTTATATATGCTCTATAATTTTGCTTTTATTTTTGTTTAATCTTTCTAGCCTTGGGAGAAACTAATTGTATCCAAATTTTATTCATAGACAGCTAAAGAAAACACTTGTGTGCAACATAATTTTTTTAGTTAGTTCTGAATTAAATTAATCTGCAATTGCTTGAATTTTACATTGCACAGTCTTTCATGTAAAATCTGATGGCACTTTTTTTCCTAAATAACCCCCTCTCTTAATTTACTTGAACCATTTTTAAAAGAAAAACCTGCCTGATCAATTTATTCCATTGTTAAGTAAAAGAGATTAGCTCATATACAGAAACACTTTCTTTTTAAAAATATATTTTATTAATTTTTTAACATAATCACAATATTTGGTAAACAGCAAGTTGTCTGGGTTTATATTTACAAACAATCAATAACAATTAGTTTCTATAATTCGGTAATCCACATAGTAGCTTTCCTTGATTTTCTCTTCTTCCAATAATATTCTCATTTATCAACCTTAAATTAGTAAATTTTCTTAGTATTTTAATAGATAACAATTGAATATAAACATTTTTCTAGTATTTCTACTAGTAACAACAACATCATTGTGAAGCTTCTTTTCTAATTAATCATCTTAATCACCCTAATATAGATCCTCTTTTTAAAGTTATTATTTAAATTTATTTTCCCCACAATGTTCGAAAACATTTTTACCTGTTAAGATTTTCTTAGAGTTAATTACACTTACCGTAAGTATTTAAGTCTTTTTCCCCCATACAAGCCATCCCAACAATTTTACATTTCTCATATCTTAAAACAAAAACAAAAAAAGGAAATAATATACTACTTGAAAAACATGTCCCTCTTAAACTAAAATACATTTATGTCCAAAAAATTTCTATTCTTTTTAACCATATTCAAACAAATATTTAATCTTTAAGTATTCAGTTAATAAATCCACAGCTAATCTTTTCAAACTATTCAAAACATTCTTATTAATTGAATTTTTCTCAAAATCCATTACATTTTGGTATCTAAAATATTTCCCTCATATAAATCCTAACATTTTTATATTTCTCATATCATTAAAAAAAACTGTTACTTAAGGAGCCTATCCCCCTTAAAGTAAAATTCATTTATATCCAAAATTTTATTTCTTTAACCAGATTCAAACAGGTGCTTAATCTTTGAATATTCCATCTGATAAGTCCCACCATCTAATTTCTTAATTCTAATTCTAGCCTTTTTTTTTTTTTTGCCAAACATCTTTCCTAATCAATATGCTCCGCTGGACCAAAAGGTCTTCCCATAGTTTTGTAGATGTTGTTTTAAGTACAAGATACAAGTCAAGTAAGGTATTTTTATGGGAATGTTTTGCCCCTTCGTATTCCTTAAAAATCTCTTTCTTTGTCTCTTAGTTTCTCTTACCATTTTTTTGTCTCTCAAATTCTCGTAGTTCTCCTGACAGCTCTGTAATCCATTTTGTTGAATCTTTTTTCTTGTCCTTAGACTTTGCAATCTTGAAGTATAAGTTGTCTTTTCCATGTCCAATATTTCCTGCAAATTTTTCTCCACCTGGGTTAAATCATAGTTCCTTCCATTGTTGAATTCCATCTTTAGATCTCTTTCCTCTGGTTTATGTTCAGTTGTCTGCTTTACTTGAACACTCTCTTTTTTATTTTCTGAGAGATTTTTGGTTGCGAAGTTAAATTGAAGATGTGTTCGTTTAAATTTTCAAAGTTATTTTTAATTTCCTCGTGGTTTGAGGTCATTGTCATTTGTATTAGTTGTAACATAGCATATACATTTCCTCCTGGAAAGTATTTGTTTTTTCTTGATATGTTTTTTCTGCAGATCTCTGATGTTCTATGATAGCCAAAAATCAAAGTTTTCCTTTCTCTGCAAACAGCTTTAGAGTCACAGTTCAATAAGTCTTTATAATCCAGGAAGGTCAATTTTTTTCCCCTAAGTTTTATGGTTCTTGCATTGTAGATAGCCCAGAATATTTTCTTTCTTTGTTTAGTTAAAGCGTTGAAGGTCAGAAAAACAAGTTATCTTTTTCTGGGCTTGCCAGTTCCTGTATTAGAGCAGCTATAATTGTATATTTTCATCCACCACTAGATGTCAGCACCAGTTCATTTTTCAGTTTTCAAAACAGGCAATTGCCTTGTTTTCATCAATAATCTTTTGCCAAGAAAGATTAACTAATTTCACCAATTTCACACTTATCCAGATTTAAGTCTTATATTCATTTTATTTCAGTATATTTCTGTCCCCCATAAAAATTTAATTTGCCGCTTCTGTCTGTGGGAGGGTGGAGCAAAAATCCCCCTCCTCTCACTTTCGGAGGATTTTTGCTTCTTGGGTTGTTTTTTTCAGGAAATCAATTATCAAGTAGAAGAGAGAGAATTGGTATTCTTACCCAGTTGTTCCAAACCCGTTGTTTCCGATCAAGCTTAACTTAGTGCTTTTTAGCTTCGGCTGCTTGTAGCTTGGGCTAGACTGGAGTAAAGCTAACCTTTCTTCTGTTGGTTTCTGGAGGACTTTTCCTGAACGACCACTCCGCAGTTGGCGGGGCTTCCCTCCTTTGTCGCTTCTCCGGGGTTACTATAGGCCCATTTAGAGTCCCCAAACAGAAGAGAATCGGCCATAGGGTGCAGAGCACCATTATCCCTCAGCTACTTGCACTACTGTGCAAAACCGGAAGGCTGAAACATTTTCTATTTAGACAACTAGGTGCATGCTTTATAATTACATACTCTGGGGATAGTAGTTTATTTTGAGGAATAATACTAAAAATACATGAAGTTGAGCCTGTTAATGCAGGTTCTATTGAGATACTTATCAAAATTGAGGTCTGCTTTGAATTATGAAAGCCTGATTTAATAATTCATAGTAAATTGTTGCAGCTTCATTCCTTCTCATGAGCTGTGAAACTAAACAAGTTTCCATTAAGCATAGTTTGCATGTCACATTCTTTCATCTCTATATAGCATAACATGTGACTCCATTTCATTAACTAAATCATGGTTTAGGTTCACACAATAACAACATTTGAAGTGCTCTTTGCTTAATGAATACAGGTAGTCCTTGTTTAGTTAGCACCCGTGCAATAGCTGTTCAAAGTTGCAACTGATCCTTGAAGTTACAGCTGTTGTAGTGCCCTGCAATAATGTTGTTGTCATTTGCGATCTTTCTTGCCAGGTTTCCACAAGCAAAATCACTGGAAAAACCAGTAGGGAATATCACAAGTTGCTGTGGTAAGCTTCCCCCCAACCTTCCTGCACACCTTGCCATGCCCTCCATGAGTCTTTGCTTGCACAGACCCATGATCTCCCTGCACTTGGAGGCACTTGGACTGATCCCAGGCCTCCCTGTGCTTGTGTGGACTTGTGCCCTCCTTTCTTCAGCCTCCCTGCACTCATGCACCACACCATAAAACCTCCCTCTGCCAATTTACGTACAACCTTCATAGAGTTTCTCAGGGTCTCCCCTGCCCTCCTGTGGCACCACTATACCTTTTACCTGGGACCCTTGCTGCTTCCTGCTTAATGACTTGTCCATCTTGGGAATTCAATAGCAACTGAGACTACCTAGATTGTTGTTGCCAAACAATGCAGTCACATGTGATATTTTACAACCACATTGCTTAATCCCAGTCCTAATTATTTTCTTAACCTGAGGACCACCTGAATGGTTTCTAACCAAGACTTCACTTTGCTCTGAACCTGTATGGAAGGGTTGGGAGGGGTTGTTTCTGGGGAGGCGTCCAGTTAGTCCTCCAAGAAACAGAGACAGCATTAAATTTTGGGGGACTAAGGAATATCTGATTGATTTTCAATTGTGTAGAGACCAGCCATTTCCCTGTATTCTGCATGGCAATGATTTCAATTCCTTGCTTCTATTCTTAGTCTCAAGACTAATCATTTGGCAATTTAAAAGAACCACTATAAAAAAAAGCAAAAAAAGTAAAATCAGATTAGAACAAGATATATAAAGTTGTTTTGAAGCCATTTAAAAAGGAAAGATCTTTGAAACTTATAATCGCCATGAAATCTAAAAATCCTTACATATGCTTTCTTCACAAAAAGAAAATTCTAAAAAAAATCAGAATTACCATCTTTATGATGGTTATTCCTTCATTAATTTTTCTTTTCAGTTCCAACTGAACTTTTTCATTTACCACAGTCATTATATTGAAAAGCAATTATTATCAACAATTTTCAAACAATGTAGAATTCAGAAACATGCATTAAATCTTTGTGTGTAAGTCAAGACTTCTTTTCTGCATGCTAACTAAATTAACATACTAAAGTAATACCCATTACTTTGTAATTACGTCAGTAAGCTTTGGGCTTTTACTTTTTTTTCCCTCCTTAAGCGTCATTGATGTGTGACCCAACAAAGAGAAAGATGTGGATTATGCTTTCCAGTAAGAAATTGCAAATTTTTCAAATAGTGATGAAATAGTTGGGAGATATTACCCTGACATTAGTTAGGAAATAAAGCGTAAGTATGTTTTTTTCTGCCATGCAGTTGCATAATTTTTAATGATAGAGAAAGTGAACCAGCTATCCTGGAATTGATCTTAACCAATAGGTAGGTTTACTGGCTAAAGTAAAAGTAATGTGGACAT